CATGGAAGTTTTGTTTAAAAATGTACTAAAATTGACACCAAAAGTTTACCTAAAAGTAGGATTGACTTTAAACTCACTATTATAATAATCCCCTCCCCCTGTTTAGTACCTCCACCCAAGCCTATGGATTAATTCTTTCTATTTTTGAATAGAAACATGATTCTAAGTTAGAGAAGCTGATTCACACACCGAAAGATATTCAAAACCACCTACAATACACTCCCTATCACCCAATCTCAATTCCTGATAGAGACAGAGATAAACCACTCAGCTAGTGACAAGATTCAGCAACGTGGTAAAAGAATAATGTGCCAATTAGGGTTTATCACAGGAAGCTAAGGACTGTTCAAAAGGAGAGAATCTAATAATAGAATCCACCCCATCAACAGTTTAAGAAAAATCATATGATCCCTGAAAAAAAAAAACCAAAAAGGTATTTGAAAAAAAATTCACTATCACCCCTTAAGGCAACATTTAACGAAGGGAACACAAAAATATTTTTTAACAGACTGAAGGTTTCTAAAATAAGAGCTGCTATTAATATTATAATTAGTGAAGAACTACTAGAGAGATGCATTTGAACATCCGGAGCAAAACAAGGATGTCTGACGTAGTGTCATTACAATGTGTGAGAATTCAGGGTAAATGCAGCAGGACACAACAGAGAAGCAGGAGGAACACATAGCAGAAATGAAGACAGTAACTACACTAGCTAACAATGATACTATGACTGCCTATCTACAAAAGCAAATGAGTCACCTTAAATCAATGGATGCAAGAGAAGTATTTGAAATAATCAACGAGCTGCACTTCTCCAAACAAAAACTGGTTAGAAAACATGCAAGAAATGCCAGTCACCATTGTGACAACCTATCATAGCATCACCACCATCACTAGGAAATCATGCAGCCTTTGGTACACCCTAACAGCAAAAATCCTGAAAACTGCTTTAGGTTGTACTGGTAGATGTTAAAATCCTCTCCCTTTTACCATCACATCAAAAAGAATAAAATACCTAGGAATAAAACTACCTAAGGAGACAAAAGACCTGTACTCTGAAAACTGTAAGCCGCCGATGAAAGAAAGCGAAGATGACACAAACAGATGCAAAGATATATCACGCTCTCGGATTGGAAGAATCAATATTGTCAAAGTGACTATACTATCCAAGGCAATCTACAGACTCAGTGCAATCCCTATCAAATTATCAATGGCATTTTTCACAGACTAGAATAAAACATTTTAAAATTTGTGTGGAAACACAAAAGACCCCGAATAGCCAAAGCAGTCCTGAGACAGAAAAACAGCTGGAGGAATCAGGCTCCTTGACTTCAGAATATACTACAACTACAGTCATCAAAACAGTACGGTAATGGCACAAAAACAGAAATGTAGATCAATGGAACAGGATAGAAAGCCCAGAGATGAACCCACTCACCTATGGTCACCTAACCTGTGACAAAGGAGGCAAGAATGTACAATGGAGAAAAGATAGTCTCTTCAATAAGTGGTGCTGGGAAAACTGGACAGCAGTTTAAAAGAATGATATTCGGACATTCTCTAACACAATACACAAACATAAACTCAAAATGGATTAAAGACCTAAATGTAAGACCAGACACTATAACACTCTTAGAGGAAAACATAGGAAGAACACTCTTTGACATAAATTGCAGCAATATCTTTTTTGATCCACCTCCTAGACTAACGAAAATAAAACCAAAAATAAACAAATGGGACCTAATTAAACTTAAAAGCTTTTGCACAGCAAAGGAAACCATAAACAAAACAAAAAGACAACCCACAGAATGGGAGAAAGTATTTGCAAACGAAGCGACCGACAAGGGCTTAATCTCCACAATATACAAATAGCTCACGCAGCTCAATATCAACAGGAACCAAACAACCCAATCAAAAACTGGGCAGAGGATCAAAGTAGACATTTCTCCAAAGAAGACATACAGATGGCCAAAAAGCACATGAAAAGATGCTCAACATGGCTAATTACCAGAGAAATGCAAATCAAAACTACAATCAGAGGGATTGGTGGCGCAGTAGTTAAGAACCTGCCCGCCAACGCAGGGGGAATGGGTTCGACCCCTGCTCTGGGAAGATCCCACATGCCGCGGAGCAACTAAGCCTGTGTGCCACAACTACTGAGCCTGTGCTCTACATCCCGTGCTCCACAACAACAGAAGCCTGCACACTGCAACGAAGAGTAGCCCCCGCTCGTTGCAACTAGAGAAAGCCTGCGCGCAGCAACAAAGACCCAACACAGCCAAAAAAACCAAAAAAAAAAAACAAAAAAACTACAATGAGGTATCACCTCACACGGTCAGAATGGCCATCATCAAAAGGTCTACAGACAACAAACGCTAGAGAGGGTGTGGAGAAAAGGGAACCCTCTTGCACTGTTGGTGGGAATGTAAATTGATACAGCCACCATGGAGAACAGTATGGAGGTTCCTTAAAAAATTAAAAATAGAACTACCATACGACCCAGCCATCCCACTACCAGACATATACCCTGAGAAAACCATAACTCAAAAAGAGCCATGTACCACAATGTTCATTGCAGCTCTATTTACAATAGCCAGGACATGGAAGCAACCGAAGTGTCCATCGACAGAGGAATGGATAAAGAAGATGCGGCACATACATACAATGGAATATTACTCAGCCATAAAAAAGAACAAAATAATGTCATTTGCGGCAACATGGATGGACCTAGAGATCATACTAACTGAAGGAAGTCAGACAGAGAAAAACAAACATCATATGATACCGCTCATCTGTGAAATCTAATTTTTAAAAACATGATACAAATGAACTTATTTAAAACACAGAAACAGACTCACAGATATCAAAATCAAAATTATGGCTACCAAAGAGGAAACGTGGGGGCAAGTGATAAATTAGGAGGCTGGGATTAATACATACACACTCTTATAAATAAAATGGATCACTAATAAGAACCTACTGCATAGCACAGGGAACACTACTCAATATTCTGTAACAACCTATATGGGAAAAAAATCTGAAAAATAACGTATACATATAACATTCACTTTGCTGTACACCTGAAACTAACACAACATTGTAAACCAAGTATACTCTGATAGAAATTTTTAAACAACCAAAAAAACACAATATTTTGAAGACATTAGAAAAAGCCAGAAACAGATTTACAGGTATTGACAAGAAACTTACGGTTACCAAAGGGGAAACGTGGCGAGGCGGGAGGGATAAATCAGGAGCTTGGGATTAACACACACACCCTACTACATATAAGATAGATAACCAACGAGGACCTACTGTATAGCACAGAGAATTCTACTCAATAATCTGTGATAACCTATATGAGAAAAGAATCTTAAAAACAATGAATATATGTACAACTGAATCACTTTGCTGTATACCTGAAACTAACACAGCATTGTAAGTCAACTATACTCCAATAAAATTTAAAAATTAAAATAAAATCGTCTCTTGATAGAGAATTGTGTCACATCTCTGAATAGTTATGCCCAAAGACCAAGAAACAAGTACGCGTTTTATTAATACGCTGGGCAGTGGCTCCATTCCCAGATTTGAAAACTGAGGCTCAAGGCGGTGAGTTCAATCGCAAGGAGTCCCATGGGGGCATCCAGTGTGCCTCACTCAGCCGTGAGGAGCGGGGCTGGGGATGACACACTGCACAAGGGTTCCAGAGCTTGGGGGCTTTCCATGCTGCCTTCTATGAATGCTCCCATTCCACAGATGGAGAAACTGAGGTTCAGAACGAGAAGTGACTGGCTGGGGTCCTTCAGCCTGGTCTGGCTGACTTCATCAGCTAAGCTCCCTGGCCTCAACCAGCAGGTGGGGCTGGTCTTTTCTGAGCTCCCACAGCTCAGATAGGCTGCACGCCCTCGGGCATGACATGTCCATCACAGCGTGGCCCACTCCCTCCTACATGCCTTGGTCAGCTTGGTCCCATGCTGTGCTCCATACCTCCGGCCAGGTCCCTGACTCAGTTTCCCCTCCCATTTCAGGAGGAAGCTCTGGCTGTCTGGCCACGACCCTACGGGGTTCACCTTTCCGAGCCTGTTTCCATAGTTATGAAAGCTATGTTTCCATGGTTATGTCACTTATAGTTATGATTGAGTGCCGTTACCCACAGGGTTGCTGGGGGGATTAAGTGAGCGTTTAATCCTGGCTGTCATAGATCCTTGGGAAATTCACGGTGACTCTTCTCTGTGGATACAGAGAAGGAACACACCCCACCGCTCCCCCAAGAAACACCAGCCAGAGCCGGTGCAGACTCACAGGTGGGAAACGGAACTGGGAGGTGGGCTGCTTATGCCCATCTGAGCTACAATGACGCCCAGCCCACAACCTGCCCCATCTCCCTCCTTCTGCCCTCCTCCAGGGCATAAATGCCAACAAGGAGGTGACAGGCCTGCGAGCACAGACTCTGAAGCCACACCCGAGCCCTCTCTCCAGGACATGCAAAGAGTCCTGCCCCCGGCTCCCTCCCAACACTCCTAATGGATCCACTGCCCAGCTCACGTCTCCTCGTCTGGACACGGCGTTCTCACCCCAGACACCCTCAGATTCCCGGTCAAGTTCAGATGCTCAAGTCCACCCCCATGCCACCCCATCCGAAACCCTGTAAAGGGCGTGGCATCATCAGGTCTGACACCTGTCCAAGGACCCTGGAGTCCTCAGGGTGACTGCCGCTCCCTTTCTAGGACTCCATCCCAGGACCAAGCCCAGCTGTGGGAAAGGGCCTCACGCTCTGAATCAGACACTGTTAGTGCCGTTCCGCAAGCCACTCCAGGCACTTCACAGTTTCCCTCACTCTCTCTAGAAGCCCCAAGCAAAGCCCACTTCAGAGCCAGATTCGCCCAACACTTGTCATCACAAATCCAGGCACCCTCGCACGAGGATGTTCTGGGGAAATGTAGACCCAAACCAGCACTCAAGCCCTGGACCCCCAAGGGCCACCCACGCTCGCTGACCTTCTTGGTGTAGCCCATGGCCTTCAGGACAGAGTGATTCAAGGTCTCCAGGGAGGCTAGGACGTCCTCGTAGTCCCCCATGTGGTCCACGAAGTAATCTGGGGGAAGGGAAGGCAGGGGTCACAGGTCATAGGAGGATCATGCCCCTCCCCCTGGGCCCTCTCACCAATCCCGTCTGTGCCCCTCATTCATTGCCTCTCCCCTCACAGAAAACACACCCCAGCCAAGCCTCAGTCCCTGCACAGCCAGCACCTACCACACAGCTCCTTGGTGTCCACATGGCTGCAGAGACAGAGAATGAGAGGGACTCAGAGACTGGCCTGTCCCGTGCCTCCCGCCCTCCTTCCCTCCCTAGCGAGCACAGCCTAGTGTGGCTGGTAAAACACCTCCCGGGCCTCTTCTCTTTTCACCCTCTGTGCTGGCGCTGTGACCCCGGCTTTACAGGTGCGGGCACAGCAGGTGAAGGATGCCGCCCCCTCCAGAGGGTTCCATGTCTGTGCGTCTGTCTGAGCACCTCACCATGCTTCACTACCCCTTTCCTCTCCCAAAGCCTGCCCACCACATCAGGAGCAGATGGGGCTAAACCGGGGGCTGGGAAAAGCGAGGGGAATAGCCCATGGCTATTACACGCTGTCAGCAGAACTCTCCCGCAACGCACTGCCCCCGGCATCCCTGCCTGCTGGGTCCTGGGCTCTGCTGGGGGTGCGGGTTGCCCTCCCTGCTCTCACTCCAGGCCTGGGATCCTCCTGTCCCTCAGAGGAGGCTGAACACGCCGGGGAAGGCGCAGGCAGCAGCTTCAGAACGGAGACATGGCGGGGCGGTGTGCTGGCGGCGGACACCAAGGGACCTGAGCTCTGTGCACGTTCTGATAACCTTCCCTTTCTGGGCCCCAGTTCCCTCACTGAGAGACGCCGGCCTACAGAGTGTGCCGGTTCCGTCAAGAGGCTTCCGGGAAAAGGCCATGCAAACTCTGTCTTGGAGGTTCCCCCAATCCGCATCACCTGGTGAAAAGTTCTGACAAGTCCTGCAGAAACGAAGCCTGTTTAACTGTGCTCAAAGTAGCGTTTCACTGACCTTTCTGAGCCGTGTGAACAGTTTTGGGCAGAAAACCTGGTTAGCATCCCAAGGAGGGGGTGTTTACAGCTCACACTCCGGGGAACGTTGGAAAGAAGACACCCAAAGGTCTTTAGAGGTCTGGCTTTCGCTAGTGGGAAGTCCGCCCGCCCGCACTCACATACGCTCACCACTGACGCCTCCTCCCAGACCCAGCTGCCCGAATGAGGATGAATAATCGACAGGCACCTGCCGCAGCCCTTTCAAGCTCCCTGGGGTGCTGCAGGAACTGCTCAGACCCTCCATCTCGCTCCAGAAACAAAGGACTCCCCTGGAGTCTGCGGCAGGAAGCCGTTTCTTTCAAGGGGCCCTTCCCCCTCTGCCTGCCCCACCCTGGCTCCCAGGACGCACAGCCCCAACTCTGGCCCCAGGCGCCCCCGTGCTGTGTCCCTTGTCAACGGGCCTGGTGGCAGCTCGTCGTCCAGACCATCTCTAGCCTGTCACAGGGGAACCCAGCTTATCAAATCTGCTCCAAACAGCCCCGAGGAACTCAGGTGTGGAGTGGAGAAAGGGGCTCGGGCCTCAGCTGCCTGGGGATCACTCAGAGAGGGCAAAGCTGGAGTTCAGGCTGGGAAGGGTCGGCATGTGTGAGTACAACGCGCGCTCTGCACTCGATTCAGGGATTTAGAGTTTGAGGGTTGCGGCCCGAGTTTGGGATTGACTGAGACACAGGTTAGGGTTCCGGCTGGGTTGGAGAAAAAGTGATTAGGTACAGGGTGAGAAGGAGAGCTCAGGTCAGAGTGAGGACCAGTTTGGTTTAAGATGGGATCCGGAGAGGATCACAGAGCTCATGGTGAGACCGGGGGTAAGCACAAGGCGTTGGGGTCCGAACTAGGTCAAGGTGGCTCATCTCTCCCTTTCGTTATCCGGTGTATATTCTGCAAATCTACGGTCTCTCCCAGGTTCGCCATGTGTGCTCAGAAAAGACAAACACTTGCCAACGCAGTATCAACCTGTCCACTCCCGAGATCCCCCGGCCAGTCGGGGCCAAACAGATGGGGCTTCCGGATTAGCTGGTTTGGGGACTCTGAGGTCTCTGTGCCTCCAGGGGAGTGGGCAGTGGAGACTGGCCACTGCGAGAGAAGGGAAACGCTGCCTCCCAGCCCCAGCCCCCAGGACTTAGCTCACTTGGTATTGTCGGAGTCGATGGTGTGGAAGAGACCCTCTAGTTCTTTCTCGTTGAGGATGCCATCTGCAAAGAAGAGCTGGAATTCCTCCAAGGATAACTTCCCGTCATCTGCGAGGAAGGGGTGGGGGGAGAGCAGCTGGTGTCTCACAGATGGGACATCCCCAGACCCAGACAATTCCCAAATCAACAGAGAAACTCCAGCCAGGTAATCCCCCGCCTACCCCGCTAATTCCCAAAGTAGCAGATAAACCCCAGCTCAGATCATCCCTGCCGGTGCCGCTAATCCAAATTAACCAGCCAACTCCAGTTCACGGAGATCACAGACTCATCTAGCTAATTCCCAAACTAACAGACCAACACCATTTACAGATAATCCCCAAACCAGCAAATGCTGGGGCTCATTAAGCCCCACAGTCAACAAGTAGATAGAGCACACCTGAGCCTGTCAGGCAACCTTTTCTCCCAGTCACCTGGCCACCTGGAGGCAGTCTGATGACCCCCCTCTGTTGGTTCCAAAAACCCAGAACACCTCCGCACACTTCAATCGTCTCTGCCTCAGCACCCGGGTCCAGATTCTGGGGAGGGAATGACCCCTCTCCACTCTGCCTTCACAGGGTCTGACGTGAGCCCGCTGCCAATGGTGGCACTCACCGGGCCACGGATGCAGCCCTGAGGATGCCAAACCCCGGGGGAGGTGGTGGTGCCAGGCCTGGGGCTCTGGTATGGGGAGGGGCTGGGCTCTGGACAAGGGGCCCTCACAGCTGACGTATCTGTCCCAACGCCTCCCACCCCGTTTCACCTCTTCGGCCTCCACTTGCGGCTGCCCTGGGTACCAGCATCTGCTGGGGAAGTTCTCATGGGTTGGGGGCAGCCAGGCCCCTGAGAGAGGGGCTCCCAGCAGAACTCCAGCAACTCCCCAAGCTTCCAGCCTCTGCTCCTCCCACCTGGGCTCTCCTGCTCAGTACACCCAACCTCCCCATCCCATCCCGGAAGCCACAGCCCCCTCCTCACTGATCTTAGCTTCCTGCTCCTCCTTAAAGGGGCTGCATCTGTGGGAGACAGCGGAGGCCAGGGAAACGGGTGAGCCCCAGCCCCTCTCTGCAGACCCCCTTCAGTACTTCTGGCAAGTCTGCAGTCAAAGCCCTCGAGAGCCCACATGGCACTTTGTGTTGATTAGAAAGAAACGCGTTTCCTCATGGGGGGGGGGGCGATGCGGTACACCATCAGAGCACGTGAGGGGAGCGCCGTGCAGGCTGGATCTGAGGCTCTCAATTCTCTCGAGTAGCTGCCCTTGAGCAGGGCACAACCCCGCCCAATCAGACACGGCAGACCTACTTGGACCCAGGCAGAAGCCACTCGTACATTTTAAAGGCTCTGGAGCTTCTATCTCTGCGGCCAACAGCTCTGCAGGGGCTCAAAGTAGGGCAACTTTGAGTAGGGAGAGGGAGATCCTCACGCCTTGCGCTGGGCTCCGCTCCGCCCGTGTTGAGAGAGGGGGAATACGGGAGAGCGGGCATGGGCTTGCACGTGGGGGGCTGGGGCAACGTCCGGCGTGCCTCCAACTTCCTGTCCCAGGTGCTCAGGTCTGTTTTGTTTTCTTTCATTTTCTCGGCCTTGCCCGCACAGCATGCGGGATCTTAGCTCCCCGACCAGGGATCGGACCTGTGCTCCCTGCAGTGGAAGCCCGGAGTCCTAACCACTGAACCAACAGGGAATTCTCCCGGCTCGTGTTTTAATGTCACAGACGGGAGAATGAATTTCTAACTTTCAAAACCCAGAGTCCCCCCGAAACAAAACAATCCCCCCCATTCACACATAAAGACCCAGAAACCAACCATAAACAGTGCACGATACCAGCCGTGACATACATAAATGCTAAGTTATGGTCCTTGTCTTCCGTGAAAGAGGACACTTTCCAGGTTTCCTTTAACAAGACTGATGACGACCCAGGAGCCAGGGAGCAGAACCAGGGCAGACACACAGGCTCTGTGTGTTCACACATCTGGTCCTCACAACACCCCACCACATAGGTATACCATCACCTCCAGTTTACAGAGCAGAGAGGCACAAAGCAGTTATGGGACTTGCCCAGGTCCCTCAGCAGGAGGTCGAACCCAGGCCACCTGGCTCCTGAGTCCATGCTCCCGACCCAACCTGGGGCAGGGTCTTGTGTGGAAACCCCCAGCCACAGGGCTACGTGGAAAAGCCGAAGCCAAGTCTGGACTCAGTGGAAGCGTGCTGTAATTGATTAGTCACGTCTGCCACGGGCACGGCACCATCCCTGCCACCATCTCCTTCTGCGCATCCAGGCACCTCCATCCAGTCCGCACTCAGGAGATAGGCAGAGAGAGGCCCGCCAGGCCTCCTGAGCACAAAGCCTTCTCGGTGACATTTAGCTTGAAAGTCTCACCACAGCTCTACTGAACCCATATCAGCTAACGAGGGAAGCAACATCTGCTAGGGCCTCTGTCCAATTAGACGAGCAACAGGGCCTAGCACCTCCAGGACGCCCCCTGCCCCGAGTGGGCCATTTGCAGGTGTCCTCACTAATTAGCACGAGCTCAGCCTCTGTTGCAGTGACCTTTCAAATGCCAGGAGTCTGCCAGCGTCCCTGTTCCCTGGAGGAAACGCAGTCTGGCACCCACCCCTCCACCGGCCGCCACACCACCCTTCCAGGTCCTACACTCCAGGCTGCCCGGCAGGCACCCCACTCTCTGCCTCCCCGTGGGGGCCACGCCCAGTCTCCAGCTCCACCTCCACGAATATGCCTCTGTCCTGGGAGCCACCAGGCCAGGCCAGCCCGAGCCGGAGCCCTTGTTCCTGTGATCCCAAAGGCCGATTCCACTCCAACCCGTGGCCGGGGGCCCCGGGCCGGCATCTTGCTTCCGTGGACAACTGGGGCAGAGCCAGCATCCATTCCCTGCCCACGCGATGTTGGCAAACTGGGCTGGGCTCAATCAGAACCGCCCGCTCTGCTCCCCACCTGAGAATCTGCGATCTCTGACTTGTCCTCTCTGAGCCTTGATTTTTGACACCTGTAGAAAAGGCGGGGGTGTGATGCCTTTCCCACTAGGAGCCCAGGGAACGTCAAATGAGGTCTATTAACGTCTTGGTGCCTAATAGATGCTCCACAGCTGCAGGCAGTCTCCACCAGATGGTGGATGCCCCGTGAAGCATGGGGTGAGAATCAAACACTTGTTGACAAACCAAGGCCCGTTTTCCAAGGCACTCATCGCTCATCAGCTGGTGTGAGGGCTCGCTGGTTCCTTACAGCACGCCAAGACCCGAGCTTCACCACACCCCCCCCCCCCCCCACAGCCCCCCCCCCCCAGCCACAGGTACACCCTCCCTCAGGCACTGTCTCCCTACAGGGGTCACCCCTGCTCAGAAGGCTGCCCCCTGTCCTCAGCATATGTCTCCAGGAAGTGAGCGCACTACTATGATTATCCCCACTTACAGATGGGGACACTGAGACCCTGAGAGTTTGGTGATTGGCCTGAGCTCACAGAGCTGGTAGGTGGCTGAGCCCTGGCAGCCCCTGCAGCAAAGCGGGGGCCCTACCTCCTTCTCACAGGCCCGGGAAGCTTCCTGGGAACCATAATCACACCCCCCATTAACCCTGGTGACAACCCCCCACGGCCACCGGTGCTGGCCGGGAAGACGAAGGCCCCAAGGGCAGGAGTGGGCTTGGGCTCAGCCTCTGTGGGGACCGCAGGAGTAAAGTCGAGGGTCCCCGCAGCTGTGCTCAGGGGGTGGAAACACGGCCTCTGATGGGCCGGGGTGCAGGGGGGCGGGGGATGAGCAACAAGGATGAAACCCCATGTGTGCCTGAAGGGAGACCAGGGCGCCACATGCCCACCCACACAGACACACACACACAGCTCCACACACACCCTTGGTATGTACAGCAGCAGTCGGAGACGGCCATTCAACCCTCATGTGCACACACATTCTCAAAAGCATGAACGGTGACACACAGCCAGGCCCACACGGCTGCATCCCAGGGACACACACACCGCACTCCCAGCGGTGAATGAATCCGTCATCTGGAAGCCAGCAGCCGTTTACGGAGGACCTACTGTGTGCCGGGCCCACGACAGGGACAAGCCCAAATCCCTCCCTGGAAAAACCTCGTCATCTGCTGAGGGGCGTGGCCAACACACGGTGATGACCCCAGGCCGTCTGCACAAGAGAAGGTAGAGAGAGGCCGCCCCCAAACACCCTTCTCTAGTCTCTGACGCTGTTCAGGCCGCGATGCCACGACGATTTCTCGAGCGCCACTCAAGTTCCCCCACCTCTCCTTGCTCCTTTGCTCCATCTGACGGTCCTGTATCCCAGGAGGCCTAGGAGGGGCCACCATCACACGCAGGGACGGTGGGTGAGAGAGGGAGACCCCTGGGTACTAGCTTCCAGCCCAGGGCTGTTCCCCAAGGTCTCACGCTCTACCCCACCACACAGTGCGGGGACAGCTCAACGGTAATTCCCAGGGTCAGGAGGGAGGGGTGCTGGGGCCCGGAGGAGTGCTGCCATCTTGACATCCAGCCCACGCACGAGAGGGCCAGGGGCCTGAAGGCTCTGGCGGGGGTGGGCAAGCGATGCGCCATCTGTTCCCCACTCCTTCCCCAGCATGGGCCTTGATACTTAATTAGTATTTTCTCAATGGATGAATAAATCAACACTGAGCACTGCCTGCTTCTCTTTGAAAAAGTTCACCACCCATCTCCCCCCTGCACTTCCCCAACAGCTCAGGGAAGCAGACAGATTACGTGTTATCACCCCACTTTACAGGTGGCAAAACTGAGGCCTGGAGAGGGGCTGTGCCTTGGTTAAAGTCCACAGAGAGTTGCTTCCGGCCCAAGAATAATGACTACGGTATTTATACAAACGCTCTCTGTGGCCACTGTGAGGCTCAGGTGGGCCTTGGTAAACCTTGTTAGCTTCTGGCCCCTGCCTTCCAGAAAGGTCCAGGGTGGAACATCTCCAGCAAGTCAGGAGAAGTGGAGTGTCCTGAATTCACTGGCCACGACAATGTGCTCACTTTCTTCGGGAAGCCGCGTGAAGTGGGGAAATCTGCTGGGGTCCGCGGCAGAGCTTCGACTGTCTTCATGCAGCTGGGTGACCCCGGGCAAGTCACAGAACCTCTCTGGGCCACTACGGAGTTGACAGAATGGGGGCAACAGCACCGACTGTATCAGGTGGCTCTGAGGAGGAGGCGTGCCAGGGCCCAGGAAGGGCCTGCAGTGAGGCTGGGGGCTTCCTGGGCCCCCGCCTGGGTTGCTCTGGTCCAGCCCAGCTGCATGAGATTAAAGTACACCAAGCATTTACCACGGGCAAGGCATCACAGCATCACCAGCACCTGCTCTCTGAATCCGCACGGCTCCCCTACTAAGTAGGAACTACGGAGAGTGCCATTGTAAGATGGGGAAACTGAGGAACAGAGTCCTGCACTCCCAAACAGAGAGAGTCAGGTCCTCATTCAGGGGACAGCCTGGGAGGGAAACTCACCATTTTTGTCCGCACGGCGGAAAATCTGCAGAGAAGAGAGGTCGAATCAGTGCTGGCCCGGAAGGGGCAGGCTTCTGACCACCGTCCCCAACCCCAGGTGGCCCTGGGGAAGCTGGGCCCCCTCCTCCCTCCCCGGGGAAGACACCCTGGCTGGGATCCAGGGGCGGGAGGGTGTTTCAGGCAGAGGTCCTCCCGCCGCCTGTGCGTAAGCAGCTGCCCACTCTCCCTTCTGTGCCGGCAGCCTGCCCACGGCCACGCTGACACACGCACACACGCGTGTGGACACACGCTCACACCCATCACGTGCTTGCGTGTGTGCTTCCAGAGCTGTGGGTCTATGGGCTGCACGCCCTGTTGGACGCTCAAGTCGCACACTCAGAATTCCTGTCCCATGGATGCAGCCAATGGCCTTATACCCACCCCCCCCCCCCCCCCCCCTTGAGAGCCTGGTTTCCTCCAGGGAGGTTGGGTTAAGTCTGAACAGAGGTGTCTGCTAAAGGAAACTCGAGGCCTGATGACTGGATCAGCCAGGGCAGAACTGGATTATTTGGGGGGTGGGGGAGTGGGTAGGAGCAGACTGCCAGCAGCTCAGAAATCTGGTGCAGATGCAAGGTTCC